AAAAAAAAAAAAAAAAATCACATAAAAATGTAAAAACTAGTCTTAGCTCATGAGCTATACAAAAACAGGCAAGATTTGGCACCCAAGCCATAGTTTGCCAACTTCCTGTTTAGGAGCCTGGAATAAATTCTGTGGAAAGAGGTAAAAGAGGATAGGTTCTGTGGCTCACATCTGTAATCCTACCACTCTGGGAAGCCGAGGCAGGTGGATGGACTAGTGAGATCAGCCTGAGCAAGAGTGAGACCCCATCTCTACTAAAAATAGAGAAAGTAGCCATGCATTGTGGTGGGCACCTATAGTCCCAGCTATTCGGGAGGCTGAAGCAAAAGGTTCACTTGAGTGCTGGAGTTTGAAGTTTCTGTGAGCTATCATGCCATGGTACTGTACCCAGGGCAACAGAGGGAGACTGCCCCCCACACACACACACACAAAAGAAAAGAGGTAAAAGTATAGGTGATCAGATGTCAAGATTTTAACAGGCTCAGTGCCTATATAGCTCAGCGGCTGGGGCACCGGCCACATACACCAGGGCTGACAGGTTCAAACCTGGCCCGGGCCTGCCAAACAACAATGACAACTATAACAACAACAAAAAAAATAGCCGGGCATTGTGGAGGGTGCCTGTAGTCCCAGCTACTTGGGAAGTGGGCAAGAAAATTGCTTAAGCCCAAGAGTTTGAGGTTACTGTAAGCTGTACTCTACCAAGGGGGATATAATAAGACTCTGTCTCAAAAAAAAAAAAAAAAAAGATTTTAACATACATTAAGAAAAGGAACAATGTTCAAATAAAATGCTGAAGGCGCCAACCTTCTATGTTCTAACTGGAACAAGTGATCTGAAGTTCTAACAAAGCCATTATCTACACTTACTGTATCTTTATCTGTGAAAAAATGATGAATAGTCTGATTCAAATCTTTTCATAAAAGCTGCTAGTGGGGGAAAAAAACTGTAAAATAATTTACAGCCTAGAGAACATGGTCCCAAGAGGTCCTGAGAAAATGCACCCAAAGTGGCTGGGTTACAGTTTGGCTTTTTTATTTTTAGAGATGGGGTCTTGTTCTGCCATCTAGGGGCTGCATAGCAGGGGTGCTATCAGAGCTCACTGTAGCCTCTGACTTCTGAGTTCACGAAGTCTCTTGTCTCAGCCTCCTAAGTAGTTGAAAGTACCTGTGTGAACCACCAGACCTGGATAATTTTTTAAAAAATTTTTAAAGACAGGGTCTTGCTATGATGCCGAACCTAGTCTCAAACTCCTGGGATCCAGCAGTCCTCTCACCTAGGCCTCTCAGTGCTGAGATTATAGGCATGAGCCACTGCACCCAACCAGTTTGGTTTTTATACACTTCAGGAAGATATGAATTGCAGGTAAAAATCATAAATTAGTATAGAGAAAGTATACATTGGTTTGGCCTGAAAATGTGGGGCCTATAAGTTATAGGTGGGTTCAGAGATTCTATTTTTTTTTTTTTTTTTTTTTTTTTTTGAGACAGAGTCTCCCTCTGTCACCCTGGGTAGAATGCTATGGCATCACAGCTCACAGCAACCTCAAACTCTTGGGCTTAAGCGATTCTCTTGCCTCAGCCTCCCAAGTAGGTGGGACTACAGGGGCCCACTACAAGGCCCAGCTATTTGGGGTTTTTTTGGTTGCGGTTGTTTAGCAGGCCTGGGCTGGATTCGAACCTGTCATCTTTAGTGCATGTGGCTGGTGCCATAACCACTGTGCTATAGGCGCCAAGCCAGGAATAAAATTCTTATCTGAAAGTTCAGAGTCAATAGAAAGGAACTTTATAAATTAAGATAAGGAATTCTGCTAATCATACAGTAAGTCACAATACACCAACTCAAAGGTAATGGCCTGTAGGTGTGAACTAATCTTTGTTTCGCATGGCCTTAGGCCCTGATTATAATTTATTATCTTACTACCACAAGAGTCTAGTTTGTCAGTCTTAGGATCTCTATTTTAACAATGTCAGTTATGTTTAAACTTCAAAAGAGAAAGAGTATGAGGAGGTGGGTCTGACCTCCTTTCCCTTGGGCTGGATTCAGTGTTAAGGTTTTCCTGCAGTCCCTTTAGCCAAGGGGCTATTTAGTCAGGATTTTATTTTTAGTTTATAGTTCTTACAGGAATAGTTGGTTTTATCAATACAATACTCAATACTCCATAAAATTGAACATTTTCATAAAACTCCTAAATGACAGGGTTCGGATAGTTTCTGGCTTGGAGAACACACCCTGGTACTGCCCAAGGAGGACATGGAACCGCCATGCCCCTTTCCCACACATTGCCCTATGCATCTCTTACACCTGGCTATTCCTGAGTTGTTTCCTTTTGGAATAAGCCAGTAATAGAATAAGTAAACTGTTTTCCTGAGTTCTGTGAGTCATCCTAACAAATCACTGAACTCAAGGAGAGGACTTTAGGGATCCCTGAAATATAACCAGTCAGTCAAAAGTATCAGAAGTCTGGGTTTATGGTTGGCCTCTTCTGAGACTGAGTCTCATTTAATCAGTGGACTTTGATGCTAACTCCAGGTAGATAGTGTCAGAATTGAATTGAATTGAACTGTAGCATATCCAGCTGGTGTTGAAGAGTAGAATTTGTCAATGTGGGGGGGGGAAACACATATTAATTTTCAGAAGTGAATGCTGTGGCCACAATAGTGGCTCACACCTGTAATCCTACCACTCTGGAAGGCCAAGGTGAGTAGATTGCCTGAGCTCAGGAGTTTGAGACCAGCTTGATTAAGACTGAGACTCTATCTCTATGAAAAATAGAAAAACTAGCTGGGTGTTATGGCGGGTGCCTAAGTCTCAGCTACCCAGGAGGCTAAGGCAGAGGATAACTTAAACCTAGAAATGTGAGGTTGCTGTGAGCTAGGTTGATACCACAGCACTCTAGCCTGGGTAACAGAGTGAGACTATGTCTCAAAACAAACAAACAGGCTCGGCGCCTATAGCTCAACTGGCTAAGGCGCCAGCCACGTACACCTAAGGTGGCGGGTTCGAATCCCCAGCCC